TCTCTCTCTCTCTCTCTCAAAATAAATAAATAAACTTTGAAAATTAAAAAAAAAAAAGAAGTGTCCAGCATAAGTCAGCCCACTGGTCACCTGGCCTCCACTCTTGTCTCCCTACAGACGTCCTCTCTACTCCACAGCCCCTGCAGGGTCAGTATGAGCCCTTCACTCAATACGCAGGCCTCGGTGAACTTGCAGGTACTTCCCAACGTTTGCACCTGCTGCTCCCTTCTGGAAAGCTGTTTCCCTTGGCACACACAGAGACATGAACCCTTCCTTCAAGAAGATTCCTCTTAATGTCCTCTCCCTGGCTTCTCTACCTTCCTGAGCCTCAATTCTTCACGTACAAAACGGGGATAGAATCATCTTCACCTCACCGGGTTATGGCGGGGGTCCAACGAGCTAATAATGTCCGCGCAATGTTCAAGGCGATGCTTGGCACATAGTAGCTGCTCATGAAAAGTTGTTGCCGAACAAATTCCTCTTTCTGCGTTTCCATTAACGCCTTCATGCGCTCTGAGTTCCGTGAGGGCTGGGCTCTTCTTTTCCACCCTCGCACATCCAGTGCCTGGCATGTAGTAGGTGCTGATTAGCGTGGGGCAGGGAACGGATGAATAATAGGCAGCGGGAGGTGGGGGTAGGGAGGAGGAGATCCCTCACCAGGGGGGCCACCACTAACAGTGAGAAAATAACTCCACATCTGCTGGGAGGTAACACATTCCACCTCTTCCTCCACAATCTTCTGGGAGCTTCATGAGAGGGATGTTGGTTGGCTATTGACCTCACTTCCCAGCTAAACTTCCGAGGCATGCAGAGGGGAAGTGACTTAGCCACGGTGACCCAATGAGTGGCAGAGTCGAGATGTGGCCCACTTTTAGCCCTCACAGCCCATGACTGCAGGCAACTCCCTTACGTGGCAGGCAAACCAGGATGGTTGGTCACTTCGGATAAAATTCCAAACCCAGGTCTCTGAGGGCCCCCCCCCCCCCTTCTTGTGGGACATCCCATTGTCCCCAAGCTTTTTAGTGAATCTCCTGAGGAGACAACGCTCTCCAGCCAGAAGTTCCGGGCAGCTAAAAAAGAAAAAAAAAAAAAAAAAAAAAAAATCACTCTCTCTCTTACTTCCCAAAAGCCAGACTCCCAGCACAAGGGGGGTGGGGGACAAGAGCATCAGAAGGACACCGATCCGGGGCTAGGAGTTCAGTGCGCTTTGACACAGGCTCATGGCCACGCCTGTGCCCGGAGATGGAGAAGGCCAACCCCGCCCTCTAGGGCTCCTGCTCCTGGGGGATGACAGGATGCTCACACACAGCGACAGGCTGGTTGACGGACAGCTGGAGAAGGGAGGGATAACTCAGTGGGGGTTCTGAAGGACCTCCTCCTGATTCAGCCACTCCTCGCCGGCCCCTACCTCCTCCCCTTGCCGGGCCTGGCTTCCTCTCTAAACCCGGGGGTGGAAACTGGTCTCTGGGGGCTTCTGGCCCTGAGGTTCATGACATGGGGAGAGCAGAGTTCTGGGAAACGCGGCCTCCAGAGAGGAGGCAGCAGAGGCCAAGCCCGCCCGAGTGATGAGGGCAGGAGCCTGGGCCTCATGTGCACAAACAGCTTCACCTTCCCAGGCTGCCCGGCCCTGCCGGCCTCATCCTCCTGGGCCGCTGTCCAGAGAAGCCAGTTCTCTGCCTGGTCCCCCGAGTCTGTGGGGGCTAAACCAGGAGAGGGGGTGCCCGGGCCTGCCCCCCGCCCCCAGCGTCCCCCAGGCCTTTGCTGGGGAAGAGACTTGCTCTTGTGGCCTGAGCCCTGCAGCCCTGAATTTGGCCTGGCTGTGCCTCAGCGGTCAGGGCCAGCACTGAGCAAACACCAGGCCCTCTGGGCAGCCAGGCCCACCGCGGCCACTGTTCTGTGTAGTCATTCCTGAGCTGGCCGTGGAAGGAAGGAGGGTCTCTCCTGGGTCCAGGGACTGAGCAGGGGGACGGGACCCCTGGGGGACTATTTCCTGCCTTCATCACCTCTTTTAGAAATAGTTGACCCCCAGGCAAGGCCTCTGCCCTCTCTGGGCTTTCATTTTCCTCTCCTCATCCAGATGCGATGGCCCTTCCTCCCTTCTCTCAACACCACCAGGCCCCCATTAGATGGAAAAGCGAATATGGGAAAGAACACGGGAGTCATGAATATGCTTGCTTCATGGGGAGGGAGGGCACGGGTGGCTCAGAGACTCAGTGATGCCTCCCGTGACAGAGGTGCTGGGGCCCCGCCAGGCCTCCTTGGTGTGGAGAGGGGGACCCTGGCAGTGGGGTCTGGGCCGTGGAATAAGGATGGGGACCAGACCAGGTACAGGGCCTGGCATAGAACAACTCCTTGGTAAGGTTATATACTTCATTCATTCATTCATTCATTCACGTTGCAGATTCCTGTGCTCCTCCTCTGTGCCTGGCCCCAGGGGAAGGGGGACATGGAAGGGACATAGAAGGGACATGGAAGGGACATGGAAGGCTGCTCAAGGAAGAGGTGCAGTAGAATGGGCTTGGAGAGGGCTCTGGTCACAGGAAGGACATTCTCCTTTTTCTTTCTTTCTTTCTTCCTTTCTTTTTATTTTATTTTTTTTTAATGCTTCTTTTAGAGAGAGAGAGAGAGAGAGAGACAGAGACGGAGAGAGAGAGACAGAGTGTGAGCCAGGGAGGTGCAGAGAAAGAGAGACACACACACACAGAATCCAGAAGCAGGCTCTAGGCTCTGAGCTGTCCACACGGAGCCCCACAAGGAGCTCGAAGTCAGGGACCGTGACATCATGACCTGAGCCGAAGTCAGACACTTAACCGACTGAGCCAGCCAGGCGCCCAGCAAGGGCATTTTCTTAAAGTCCAGGATCGGCCGCATCCAAATCACTAGGGCTTTAAAAATGCACATCCCCAGGCCCCACCCCAGACCCAGGACCC